CCCAGTTACTTACTTTCTACCGATCAATCTCTTGACATCGAAGACAGTCCTCTCAGGATTAACAGCCGCCTGATTCTTAGCAGCTTCACCAATGAGCCTCTCAGAGTCAGTGAAACCAACCCATGAAGGTGTAATACGGTTTCCTTGGTCATTGGCAATGATTTCAACATGGCCATTCTTGTAAACACCAACACAAGAGTATGTTGTACCAAGATCTATTCCTATAACAGACCCCAACTTCGTAGCCTCTTCTTTCGCAATCGAAATCGCAAAAAGACATCCTGAAACCATAATTCCAATCGTCAATTAAAATACCAAAAAACACTAACAAATCACTATCCAAATTGTCCAGATCATGCTAAAGCAGCGAGAAATGTACATTAACAGAATCATAACCCAATGCACTACATAAATTTCAGAGCTAGACGAGATCTACTAATCTGAAAAACAAAGCATCTATCAAACAACGAATCGTCACATCAGATCATGATTATTCCCACAGTAACATTCACGAAATCCGTAACACAAAAGAAATCGAAAAAGTAAACATCACTGATTCCACCAGAACAAAACACATACAGATCTAGAAATTCGTGAATCACTCACCGAAGAAGATGATCGCAAGCACAAACGTATCTCGTGCCATCTCGAGAATCGTTCCGTTTCTTCTCAGAAAGTGAGAGAGAGTTTTCTTTCTTTATGTGTTGTTTGGATCCAACTGAGTCGCGTCGAGAGGCTTATAAAGGTATCAGTACCCGAAGGCTACGCTGAAGCAAAGTCGCTTATTTTTGGAAGGCCAAAACCGGAGCCAGTGTCATTTGAGATTATGTGGACCAATCATATTATGACACGTACACAGTGCATAAATATGGGTCGCGAAGAAACAGAGGCCATGTCATCTCACACCACGCGAACCAATTGCATCGCGACATGTAACCACACCGTCCAATTAAATCTGCGATCTTGCGTTGGAGTAATCTTGGCCGTTCGTTTGTTTTTAAGATAATGGGCCTCTTTACTGGTTATTATTTATTAAGCCCAATATTTTAGGGCCCAATTATAACCCAATATTCATCCTCATTTCAGTCATTTGTAATTGATAAGATCGAATAATGATCTATTTTAGAATAAAATCAGAGATAGTATTTGCTTTAAAGAAAATTGTAGCATATGTGATGAGTGCTTGTTTTGTGGGTACAGAAAAGGAGAATATTTAGGCTTTATGGGTTTGGTAAAGGTTTTGAAAGAGATATAAACAAAAGAGGAGAGATATGAATCACTCAAGTTTTATTAGGTATATATCAATTGATTGTATGGTGCTCTTCTTCATTATTACAGGATATATATATATATGACACTAACCTAACCAGCATATCTATTTATACCAAAAAAAAAAAAAATACATTACACCAAGTTAAAATATTCACATGTTGAAACAAGAGGTTATATATTTAATCAAATTTTCGAATGAATTGAACTAGTATCCATTTAAACGTGAGATTTAAAGCAAAATGTGAAACAACAATATATCAATTTGGAAATGA